TATGACAGAGTATGGCGGCGCCCTGTTAGCTGATTTATGTGGGACCCGCCATCTTGGAAAGCCAGCCGTACAACGACTTTTCCTGCCCCGCAAAACTTGGCTGCGTTATGTCAATCGCTAGCGGCACAAAGGGTAATACGCATGCTCTAGCCCTCTCCACCGGATTCAGGTCTCTTCCCGGTAAGGCGCCCCAAGCCCAAAGGTGTCTGCCTCCGCTTTGCAACTGGTACCTTACGAAGCTGCATAACATCAGAGCGGGCGCAGCCATGCTGAAAAAGGTGCTCAAATCCGTAAGGGAAAAGGAGTCTTCCTTTAGGGAGTTGGGAGCAGGTGGAGTGACTTCCAGGAATGCTTCGGAAGAAAGGTTTAGGGTCTGGAGAAGCCAAGGTGGTAGAGGAAGGTAGCATGCCTCACTGTGGGCACAGAGTAAACAAATTTAGTTGAAGGAAAAGATCTTCAGCCAAAATTTGTGGTGGAAGTTTGGTGACACCTCCAGGGTGAAAGGTGAGAGGGCTGTAGAGAGGGTGGAGCTAATAGTGGGAGAGGGGTTATGTTTCTGACTGAGGTGGAAGGTGGTGAAATTTCTGGTGGAAGACCAGAAATTGTTGGTAGAAATTTCTGTGCAGACTTTCTGTCAATTCAAATGTTTTCATATAATTTTTCTCTTGAAAAAATTATTAGAATTGGAATTGTTGAGTCAAAGAGAAGGAAAATTTTTAATTGGATAGATTTTTCCAGATTGTTGTCCAAACATGTTTTGTTAGTGAATACACTTTACTGGCTGCTATCCAGCTTCTTCCAAGAACTCCAACTGAAAAGTAATAGCTAGTTTTTATTAAGTGTATACACAATTTTTTTGAATAGGAGACATGTTCACGCATAATAATTGCATTATCTTGCTTAATATTCTGAAAGCCATTGATGGTGGACATAAATATTACCCTTATTTTATATATGGGGGTAAAAGGGCTAATTCTATCAGAGTGCCTATTTTCTAACCACCTCATCAACCTTTTAATTTTTCCCAACCTAAGGGCGACTAAAAACATTATTTTTATTTCTTATTTTATTAATTGTTTATTTACTGGTATTATTTTTTCTGTTTTAGGTTGGTTATCTTTTTCTTAATCATATTGTGGATATTTATAACTATCAATTCAACTTCCATTCTCCCCATGTCTAAGCAACCACTAATTTACTTTCTGTCTCTATAGATTTACCTATTCTGGACATAAGTTCAGTCATATAATATGTAATCTTTGTAACTGGCTTCTTTCACTTAGCATAATGCTTTCAAGGTTCATCCATGTTGTAGCATGTTTCTGTACTTCATTCCTTTTTATATCTGAATAATATTTTGTTGTATGGATGTAGCACATTTTATTTTTCCCTTCATCTGAGTTGTTTCCACTTTTGGCTATTATAAATAATGCTGCTGTAAACATTTGTGTATAAGTTTTTGTGTGGACATATGCTTTTATTTCTCTTGGATATAAACCTGGAGTGAAATTGCTGGATCATATGGTAAATATGTTTACTGTTTGGGGAACTGTAAGACTGTTTTCCAAAGTAGCTGCACAAAAGGAATACCAACTAAAGGAAAACTGTTTCTTTTACCCTAGGGTACTTCTGACAACAAACGTTTGGTGGAGTCCAGCCTACCAACTCCATTTTAAATGAGGTTTCTGTTTATTAATTTTCACGTGATGATAATGGAGTTTTCATTTGGGGGTACTGTCTGTGGTGTCCTGAAGGATGCTTCAAACACCTCTCCCTACAAACAGAAACAACCCTTTTCACACAAGCATTTCCTTTTTCCCATTCTTCCAATAGAGTTATATCTTAATTATGGTTGGATCAGATTTAGTGTTTACATTATGATGACTATGTAAATACTACATATAGTTCAGCCACTAGTATACTATGATTACTTTTCCTTTCTTGTACAACTTTTTATTCTCCCTGGAGTTGTCTTATTTACTCCTTACAGAATTTCTGGCCTTTTGGTTCTCAGAAAGCTCCGCACTTGTTATTGGCTCCACCGCTGGCAGAAGGGAAGCGGGCTGTCACGTGTGAAAAACTCACCCCACCCCCGGATTCCCTCTTCCCATTGACTCATGACTACCCTCCTCCCCTTTACTGGGCGGTAACCATGTTCCACCCCCAAATGTATGCTAGGTTTCTGCCAGTTGCTGTTTTTTTTTTTTACTTTCTTTGACGGCGTTATGCTGTCCCCGTTACCGCGAGTGCTTCTCCAGACTCTTTTCTGTCCTCAAAGTCATCCTCTCACCGTCCACACTGAGCCAGAAGCGTCCTCGGGGTATTTGCCTTTAGTCTTATACGTTTTCTCCTTTTCCTTTGGCTGTTTGTTGGTTTTTGTACGGACACCTAACTTCTAAGATGGCTGTGCCCACTGTGTCGTTTCCCAATCTTCGTGCAAAGTGGATTACTTTTCTCCCTAGCCCGCTGAGGCGGACGTATCCTACTCCGTTTCCCTTGTGGGAGCTCGAGTTTCTGAAAATCCGTGCAGTTTGCGGTGCAGGGTTTAAGTGGGGGTACTTTGGATGGCTTTTGTCCGTTCCGTGCCTTCCGTGGCTACTTGGACCAAAACTGTCACTTCGCTTTCTTTACGGCGAGTCCTGAAAGGTGGAGGCCCCGGGATCCGTGGTGAGATGGGCGCAGACATTATCTCCGTTCCTGCTCCGTACAAACGTTGCGTGGCCCACGTCGGCCGCCGTAGTCCAGCGCGGAGGCTGGGCGAAGGCGCTACAGTAAAAGAATTCACGGAAGTGCGGATTCTAGGAGGTCGCGGTGGGATCAGGAGAAAATCGAGACCGTGTGTGGATCTCTGCGTGGAATAGGATGAGGGAAACGAGGTGTCTGTGGGCGTCCGGGTGGGGTGGAGCCGTGGGGTCCGTAGAGGGAGAGGAAGCAAGTGGGAGTCGGTGACTGGGGTATTTATGATTGGGTTGACGGAGTCAGTCCTGAAGGATTCTGGTGTTAGTGATTACAGGCCCGTCGAAATCTAGGATTGAAAGTCCGTAATCAGAGTTTTGTGTCTGTCTGCAGTGCTCTGTGATTGAGGACTGCGGTAGGGAATGATTTTTGTCAATGAAAGCGGTGTCTGGTTTGGAGTCGGGATTTAGTAGCGGGCTCAATGACAGAAGCGGGGGTCTCATGGTCAGCGAACCTGGGTATCTAGTCCAGGTTTCGGGATTACTCCGAGTGTATGTGACCAGTGGTTGCGGTGGCTGGTCCAGGTGTGTCAGTCGTTGAGAGGTTTGTGAGAGCTGAAGCTGGTCGGTGGGTGGGTGTTTTCAAACGTGACTTTCTTCTTCAGTTCCTCACGTCCAAGGCCTCGTTTGCCAATCGCCTTTGGCTTTCCACATCTTCTCTCGACCCCGTAGAAATGAAAGCGTTGTTGGAGATCGAGGATTAAGCACACCTAAAGTGGTAAGGTTTCTACTAAAGATGAGGATTTTGCCCTTCCTGCAAGTTTACTGTGTGTGTGCATACACACACTTGTAAATATTTCCTTTCAGAGTTGTTCTAGCACAAGTAAAATAACATCTCTATTACCCCAATTCTGTTCTCCAACGATAACGTTTGTTAAATTTTCCATATAGTTCCTTTTAGTCTTCATTTTTCTATGCTTGATTTTCACAATTCCAATAAACTGCCGAAAATTTAGCATAATTTGCCTCATCATTTAATTTCCTATCATAAACATTACTAATAAATATATCATAAATTTTTTTTCTGTAAGAGTTGTTTTTTAAAAATTTCTAACAGATACCAAGAGACAAACCTGTGCCATTAATGACTGGAATCACTCAATATATGCATTCATTTAGATAGAATTTAAATGCTTAAATATTCATTTATCACTTCTGAGAACAGGTTATGATTCTGCATTTACATAAGGGTGTGGTTCCCTGTCCCTCATCTCCACCATGATTTTTAATTTTTTTGCCATTGTGAATGGTGTCTTTCTACTTTCGATCTTTTTATTCACTTTTAATTTACTATTACACAGAAGAGTAATTACATTGAAAAGATTTGTTTCTGCTCACCCTGCTGATCTCATTATTACAAGCTTTCCCATCTCCCATGATTTTATTATGAAAAATTTCACACATATAGCAAGGTTTAAAGAACTATACATTTGAGTTCCTGACTGCCTGCCACGTGGATTTTATCATCATGATTTTATTGAGTTTCCTTTATCGTGTATGTATCCGTATATCACTCCTCTAATCATCATCAATCCACCTTTTTACATTTTTGAGGGTATGTTTTATTGTAAGTTGCAGATATTTATACATTTTCCCGTAAATATTTTAGTAAGCATATAATTAGAGTTCTACTCATAGCTTTTTTCTAATAACAGCTTTTTTATTCATACACTGTACAATTCATCCACTCAAAGCATACAATTCAGTAGTTTTTATTGTAATCACATTCCTTGAACTCGTTTTATATAATGCATGTTTTTATACTTTTACTAAATGTGTATATATCCACAAATAGTAATCTTTGTTGTATATGCTTTAATTTTTTCTCTTGGTTTTCCTTTGTTTGTTTCTTTCACATAATGACGATTAGTGAAGATGGTTCAATGACTTTGAACAGGTCCATGAACACACATGGTTTCCAAGGAATAGCTGTCCAGGTCCTCACCTTTTATATGTTCTCTTTCCAAAAACTGGTCTGTGATAATTCCCCCGCCGCGGACGCATCGTGTTGTGCTGGTTCTCCTTTCCCGTCTCCCCTTTCACAGTCACCCCACTTCCACTTCACAGAAAGAAGAAATAGTACCCACACATTCACAATCTTCTATTTTATTGCTCCAGGGTGTAATAGCCTCTGGGACCCCAAATAAAGGAACAGATGGCTTTGAAATCAGGTGGGTGACAGTGGCAGTGACAACATCTGGGCCCAGAGGAAATTTACACTCAAAGTGAATTTATTTTTCAGCTCACAGGTCGTGGTTCCTGGAGCAAGATACATCACGTGATGTGAGAAATTTTCACGACCTGGATATCATCATTTGTGGGGACATCACTGCCTGGAGACTAAGATTTCTAACCAGAAATTTAGGGCAGTTCAAGAAGAGGCTCAGGAGACATCCTAGCTTTGGCTGTTTCCCAATAACAGATGAAAATGATCAAGGACCAGGTGATTTTTGGTTTGTCTTATTCTTTCCTTCATTCTGTGATTGATTTCTGGGGGAACTTTAAAATGCAATTGAATTCAATAGAAATAACAAATTGGAAAACTAGAATTTGTGCAGAAATAAATTTAGATTTAAATTCAACATCAAGGCAAAGTAGCATCAGAAATATATTGTTTGTGGGACCTACACTAAATGACTAATGTTGGAATATCTTCTGTGATTGGAGTATCCAGTGGGTTACATGCACTGTCGACTCATGTCTAATAGCTCTGACGGTCATCACAGCCAGAGACTCCTGATAATGACGGGTTAGGCATTGACTCTGAGGAGAAAGCTGACCAGTTCCTCAGAGGATGTCACTGTATTTTTCATGGCACTCAGGTCTTGGGACTTTTTAAATGGTTCGTCCTAGAGGTGATATGGCAGACAGTGTCCTTAACTACAACCTTCTCATAAATGAAAAGCTGGTTCTCCAGAGACCCCTTTGGAAATAGACCAAGAAATCTCAGCGGGCACAGTGCTTCATGGGACCATAGCAAGGTGACCCATGGACCCAACCTTGTAGTGGTCAGGGTTAGCTTGGGAGTAAAACCTAGATGACATAAGAAAGTGGAAGGGTTGCATGACTTTCCAAGGTCCCATATGAACAGGTGATCAAACAGGTGTTTGAGTACAGATTTGGCAGGAGGGAGTTGAAAGTGTCTGTGTCTGGTAAAGTTGTTGCGATCTCAGGGTTTGCTTTAGAACTTCCTGCTATTAAACATAGAAAACAAACTTATGGTTACCAAAGAGGAAAGGGGCAAGGGGAGATAAATTAGGAATTTGGGATTAACAGATACACACTACTATATATAAAATACATGAACAATAAGGACCCACTCTGTAGCACAGGGAACTATATTTAATATCTTATAATAACCTATAATGGAAAAGAATCTGCAAAAGAATAGACATATTCAATATGTATATGTATAACTAAATCACTTTGCTGTACATCTGAGACATTGTAAATCAATGATACTTAAATTAAAAAAAAAAAAGAACTTCCAGCTACTGAAGGTAGTCCACTTCCCCTCCCTGGGTTCAAAGCCAAGTCCTACTGCCTCATCTTTCATTACCTTTAAAAAATTTCATAATACAAATATGCGTGAATATATTTGTAAAACTCCAGTGATGACAAAGTACATCTAGTGAAAAAGTAAGAGTCCTCTTCATACGCTTCTTTCCTAATCCCCTGGTGTCGCTTAACAAATGTGCAGGAGTGTGTACTTCCAGTCACTGAGCTGTGTGTACATCTGTGTCTGTATGGATGTTTGCGGGTGGATCTAACTCAGCTCTTAGGTCTTTGGGTAGTGCCTTTCCATTACTGTATTTACTTTTTCATAAACTGAGCTGGGGAATGTGAGACCTCACTTTATCCTCTATATTTATTATTCTCTCTTTTATATTTTCCATCATTTTGTCCTTGTGCTGCATTTTGAGTAATTTCTTCAGATCTACCTTCCTGTTTATTATCTCTTCAATGTATCTGATATGTTGTGAACCTGACTAGAAATGTAAATATAAATAATGTACTTATGTATATATGTACTTGTGTGTTTTTTGAAGGATGCTATTTATTTTCTTACTTTGAATAATGTTCTTTACTAGTCTCTCATTCTTTTAATATGTTTTAGAAAGGTGTTTTTATTCTTCCTAACATATAAAACATACTTAATATGTTGTACCTTTTTTTTTTTCTGCGGTATGCGGGGCCTCTCACTGTTGTGGCCTCTCCCGTTGCGGAGCACAGGCTCTGGACGCGCAGGCTCAGCGGCCATGGCTCACGGGCCCAGCCGCTCCGCGGCATGTGGGATCTTCCCGGACCCGGGCACGAACCCGTGTCCCCTGCGTCGGGGCGGACTCTCAACCACTGCACCACCAGGGAAGCCCCCCGTTGTATCTTTTAATTATAGCGTCTGGAGTTTCTTCATGGTTGATTCTGATAATGGTTATGAAGATTCCTGGTGAATGTAGGAATATGTTTTGTTTGTCCTGATGTCATTAGAATATACTTAATACCTGGCAAATATGTACTCGCTACAAAAAAAAAAAAAATATATATATATATATATATACAGCAAATGTTTTAAATATGTTTTTAGTTTAACAAGAGGATTAATGACTACTTATCACAGAAACTTCTGATTTGCTGAATGATGGTTGACTGTACTATTACAGAATATTTTGCAATACATAAGTTAGAACATGGATAGATTTTGCTTCTATGACAATGTAGTTTTAAAAAATCAGGGGCATTCCCTGGTGATCCAGTGGTTAGGACTTGGCACTTTCACTGCCAGACACCTGGGTTCAATCCCTGATCAGGGAACTAAGATCCCCCAAGCCTCGCAGCACAGCCAAATTTTTTTAAAAATTAAAATAAATAAAAATCAAGGCACCTCCTTATATAGATGTAGCCTAAAAGAGCACCTCCGTATATAGATGTAGTGGAAAAGAGCAGAACAACTTCCTTCACTTGCCTTCCATTTCAGTAACGAGAGAAACACTCATATTAAACAGGACCGTGTTGTTACAGGGATCGCTGACACTGGAGGATGTGGCCGTGGACTTCACGTGGGAGGAGTGGCAGCTCCTGGCCCCTGCTCAGAAGGACCTGTACCGGGACGTGATGCTGGAGAACTATAGCAACCTGCTGTCCGTTGGTGAGAACAGCTCCCCTTGGTCCCTCAGAGTCCCCAGTCAGTGGCCTCTCTTTCTTCAGCTTCTGAAAGTTTTGCAGTGTCCATGGTGCCCTGAAGTGGTAGATAAGTCTCAGTTCCTTCTCTGGTCCCAGACTAGAGTATAACGTGCCCTCTCCTGAGAGATGAGCCTTTCCTTTGCTGAGCCGCAAATTGCATAGTTCGTAAAATGTAACATTCTTCCATGTTGGCAGACCACAGCCCAGTTCAAGAGTCTGTCTCTGTCGTTTCCCATGAACAGGGTATCAAGCCAGCAAGCCGGATGCTCTCTCCAAATTGGAACGAGGAGAACCGTGGCCAGTAGAAGATGAAATCCACAGTCGAATCTGTCCAGGTGTGTAAGAGAACCAGCATTGAGCGACCAAGGGAGTCATATTCTAATCATTCAGAGATGTCACAGCTGTGTATGTCTGCGGACATGGAAGCATAGCCTCCACCGAAGAGCTCTTTTTCTTTTAGTGGTGTCGAGGAACATATCTCTTCTTGGATTTGATCCCTATTTATTTCACCTGGGTCTTGATTTTTTTTTCTCTAAGTTTCTTAGAATTCTCAAATCTTCCCATTCTTCTTCCCCCAGCACTGTATCACTACCTGTTCCTTCTACTTCTCTTGCTATGAAATTCAACCTTCCACATCTCTCTCTAAAGAGAGATGTTTTGATTTCAGTGCTGTCTTCTGGCAACTGCACCTTCTTGCCCCTTTGGATAATAATTGATTTCCATTCCTACCATTCACACCATCTTTGGTTGGAGGTTAGGATTTCAACGTATAAATTGTGGGGGGAACATAAACGTTCAGTGTCTAGTACCTTGTTTCTTTCTTCATATATCCTGGCTGTGCTGGAGAAACTTCAGTCTTCCTCTTGTGTTTCTTCTTTGCTCTCACACCACTGCCACACTCATGGCACTTCTGACACCAGCAATTCTCTGTGACACCAGCTAAGTGTCCTACAGTTTAACTCAATTCTGACACTGTCTGCCTGGAGAAAACATGAGATCCCACAGGTTAAGGGCTCCATCACACAAGACTGCCCCGACCTCCACTTCAGATGCCAAACACAAGTCCAGGTTGTTACCTGTGCTTCTGACCAACTGGCTGTAGACCGGAGCTTCCCAAGACTCCCTCTTTCTCAGGTTCAATTCATTTGCTAGAGTGGCACACAGAACTCAGAGAAACATTTTACTTACTAGATCACCAGTTTGTTATGAAAGGATTTAAGTCAGGAACAGCCAGGTGGAAGAGATGCACAGGGTACGGGGAAGGAGCGTGGAGCTTCCATGCCCTCTCTGGGTGTGATGCTCTCCCAACACCTCCTTGTGTTCAGCCACCTGTAGGCTCTCTGAACCCTGTAATTTTTAAAGGAGGCCTTATCGCCCTGGGCATGACTGATCATTAACTTCATTTCCAGCCCTTCCAGCAAATGCAGCCATGTGTGAGGGGGCTAAGTTGTGCTCTTGGCAGCTAGGAATTTAGCTTAGCCCCCTCATCTTACATCCTTTAAGAAAGGGAATGTCTCTGGTAAGATGCCTTTAAGCAGCTATATCAGCGATGTGGGTAGGTCCCTTGGGTGAATTGCATTCCATGAAGACAAAATAGCAAGGTCAGAAGCCTGAGGCAGGAGCATGTTTTAGGAATCTGGAGGAAGCCTGTATGAGTACAGTGGAGTGAGCGAGAGGGTCAGTGGATGGAGAAAATACGGAGATGACAGCAGTAAGGTAGTAGGTGGAGTTTGGAGTAGACAGGTCATGTAGGACCTTTCAGGGCCACTTCAAGGACTTGATTTTTTTGGTTTTTTTTTTTAAGATTTTTTTGGTGTGGATTATTTTTAAAGTCTTTATTGAATTTGTTACAATATCACTCCTGTTTTATGTTTTGGTTTTTTGGCCGCGAGGCATGTGTGATGTTAGTTCACCGACCAGGAATTGAACCCACATGCCCTGCATTGGAAGGCGAAGTCTAAAAGCACTGGACTGCCAGGGAAATCCATGATTTTTTTTTTTAATTAATTAATTTTTTTGGCTGCACCACGCAGCTTGCAAGATCTCAGTTCCCCAGCCAGGGGTTGAACCTGGGCCACAGCAGTGAGAGCCCCGAATCCTAACCAGCAGGCCACCAGGGAAGTCCTAAGGACTTGATTTTTTAAAAACAATCAGATGAGAAAACAGTACGGCATAATATAATTTATATTTTAAATGATCACTTTGTGGGACTTCCCTGGTGGTCCAGTGGTTAAGACTCCATACTTCCACTTCAGCGGGTGCAGGTTCAATCCTTGGTCGGGGAACTAAGATCCCACATGCTGCGTGGTGTGGCCAAAAAAAAAAAAAAAAAAAGATAACTTCCATATAGGAAAAGAATCTGAAAGAGAATATATATATATAGAGAGAGATATAGATATATATATATATATAGATATAGATATATAACTGAATCACTTTGCTGTACACCTGAAACTAACACAACATTGTAAATCAACTATACCCCCAATATAAAATAAAAAATTTTTAAAAATAAAATAGAATGATCACTTTGACTACTTTGTAGAAGGGAAGTTGAAGCCTGAAATCCAGTCAGTGGAGCCCATTGCTGTAGTATAAAACAGAACGCTTGTCTTCAACCTGGGTAGAGGGGGTGAGGGGTAGTGAGCTTGGAAATATATTTATAAAGGAGAGAAGGCGTTTCCTATTGAAGTAGATAATGGGTTGAAAGAAAAATACAACTGAAGGATGACGCTAAGGTTCTTGACATGAGTCTGGGGAAGAGTGGAGTTGCCATTTCTAAGATGAAGAAGGTGTATGGAGAAGGAGATGTGGGTTGAGAAATCAGGAGTTTTTGTTTTGGACATTGTAATTTAGACGTGTTTGTTCACATCACCTTGGATGCAAATGCTCTGTTGCATTTGGATCTACCCGAGGAATTCAGGGAGAATTTAGGACTAGAGTTAGAAATGTGGATGGATTAAGATCTCCTATGGGATGAGTACAGATTAAGAAGAGACTTGGATTAAAAAAAAAAAATTGTGGGCACTATACTCAATGTTTTGTAATAACATATAAGGGAAAATAATCTGAAAAAGAATATGTATATATATAAAAATAAGGAGTATTCATATAGAGAAATATATTTATATAAGTAAATTTATATAAATATAACTAAATATATAACTAAATATATTTACAGAAATGAACTTATATAAATATATAAATAAATATATTTATATAAATCCTATACTAAGGATTTATATATATATATAACTGAATCCCTTTGCTGTACACCTGAAACTAGCACAATGTTGGAAATCAACTATACTTCAATACAAAAATAATAAAAAATTAAAATTGAAAAATAAAAACAGATAGTAGAATTGAAAAAAATTGCTATATGTATGTAAATATCAAATCATTATGTTGTACACCTGACACTAATATAATGTCATTTGTCAACTATACCTTGATTTGAAAAAAAAGAAAGGAAGAAAGATTCCTTTGAGTAGAGATTACATATATGCAAGGTAGAATTAAAGAAAAAAAGAAGAGCCTTGGACCACTAGCAGTCCGGAAGATGAGGATTTGTGAAATGCATGGTTTCCTAGTACATGTACTAGGACCTCTTATTTTCAGAGTGTGTATTTTTGGTAGATTTGGGGTGGACGGCCTGGACTAGTCTATACATAATGTTGTAAGCAGGCCCTCTTGAGCCTACTTGGTGAACCACAGCCTTAATGTGTGCTAGAGGAGATTAGTGAGAAATAAAGCAGTACATTCTAGGAGTAAGATTTTAGTAACAAACAGAGGATAAATCTGCAGGTAATATGTGGAAGTTCCTCTTTTGAATGCAGCATCTTTGCTATAGTTCAGGGCTATGTGAACTAAGTTGTCTAAATGAACAGTAAAGATGGGGACTACTTTAGAAATGTAGGGGAAACAGAGCTTACAGTGACATAGAATGATAGCGTGATATATAGGAGGCATATCTGGGATTTGAGTAAAGATGAGGAAGGGCAAGTAATGAAGGTGTAAAGTTGGAAATGTGCAAGGCCTTGAGGAAACTGTCAAAAGATTGGCCTGAAGCCACTTGAAGGCCAGTTTTAGAAGGTATTTGTAGAGGAATGAGTAGAGTGTGGACACTGATAAATGGAGTAAAAGTTGGTAACGTAACTTTTATTTCCAGGCTGTTCTGGATTTTGTTAGTATAGTTGATCCTTGAACAGCACGAGTTTGAACTGCATGGGTCCACTTATGTGCGGATTTTTTTCAGTGACTACATACTGCAGTATTACACCATCCAAGGTTGGTTGAATCCTCAGATGCACAACCTTGGATACAGGGGGCCAACTATAAAGTTATACCTGGATTTTTGACCACATGGAGGGTCTGTACCCCTATCCTCCGCCTTGTTCAACCGTCACCTGTAATTGAGGTATAGTGGTGGCATTGTGAATTTGATCTGTATTATCCTTGGATACGTAGTCTTTCTTTTGAACTGGGTGGCAGCAGTGTGAACTATAGTTAAGTACATCCAGTGGTTCTAAGACAAATGGCAGGCAAAACTGTCAAGAGTCTTGGTCCAGGATCAGAAGTGTGATCCTTTAGGACCCCTTAAATGGTAGAAACCAAGATGGGTATGCAGACTTTTGAAAGAAAATGCTATTAATGGCAGGATGTGGGTTTAGGGATCACTACAATGAAATGGGAACAATTTAAATGTTCCATATATACAAGTACAAAGGGTGAATGAAAAAGGTGCCAGTTCCCTAGTATGATATTGTAATATAAGATATATATGTACTTGGTCTTTGGCCCTGGTGTCTGGCATAGAGCTCCTAAAAGTCTTGTAATTTCCTGAGTATAGGATCATTTATTTCCTTTATTAGTATTGGTATAGTCAGTGTTTGGTGCTCCTCCATGGGCTTTTTAAAACCCAAAATCTTAATGTTATAACAATTGTAAACTTGGTCACACGCCTTCGTCTATTGATACTTTCAGTCTACACATTTTCCATCCTGTCCTCTATCCTTATATATATAATATTTACATACAAATGATTCCCACATTGTTACCTGCTTTCCCGCATGGTTAAGACCTTTCTCAGGATCTTCATAGCCAATTGAATTCTTCATGTCTGTTTTGGATATCCAAAACCCACCTAGAGGTTGATATGGTTTGAAATGCACACTTGATTTCCCCACATTGTGAACCTCAATAATAGTCCCCATCTCATTAAAAACCACTACTCACCTATCCAGTGGCCTAGGTCACATAATTAGGAATAATACTTGATTCCTTGCATTTAAGGATTTATGCATGTATGAATGTGTCCCACAGCACTTGGAAAAAAAATATCCCTCTGTCTTCTGTGGTCTAGTGCTCATAATAACTTGATTTTATTTTACTATCAGCATAATTTATAAGGTTACAGTTACAAAGCAGCCAGATCTCTATTTGCTCATTTTGAATGCTCTAACCTTGTTTATGCCCTGTTTTTACCTTTTATTTTCTTTGTTTACATTATTGTATTTTACCCTTGTCCAAGTGATAACAAACATATATTGGAGTTTCTTTTTTTTTTTTTAGTTGAAGTATAGTTGATTTACACTGTTGTATTAATTTCTGCTGTACAGCAAAGTGATTCAGATATATATATACATACATACATACATACACATTCTTTTTCATATTGTTTTCCATTATGGTTTATAACAGGATATTGAATATACTTCCCTGTGCTATACAATAGGACCTTGTTGTTTATCCATCCTATATATAATAGTTTGCATCAGCTAATCCGAAACTCCCAATCCCTCCCTCCGCCACCCACCTCCCTTTTGGCAACCACAAGTCTGTTCTCTATGTCTGTGAGTCTGTTTCTGTTTCATAGATAAGTTCATTTGTGTCATATTTTAGATTCCACATATAAGTTATATCATATGGTATTTGTCTTTCTCTTTCTAACTTACTTCACTTAGTATGATAATCTCTGGGTCCATCCATGTTGCTGCAAATAGCATTATTTCATTCTTTTTTATGGCTGAGTAGTATTCCATTGTATACATGTACCACATCTTGTTTATTCATTCATCTGTCAATGGACATTTAGGTTGTTTCCATGTCTTGGCTATTCTGAACAGTGCTGCTGTGAACACAGGGTGCATATATCTTTTTGAATTATAGTTTTGTCTGGATATATGCCTGGCAGTGGGATTGCTGGATCATATGGCAACTCTATTTTAAGGAACCTCCATACTGTTTTCCAGGGTGGCTGCACCAATTTACATTCCCACCAATGGTGTAGGAGGGTTCCCTTTTCTACTTGGAGTTTCTTTAGATATATATATTTTAATGCTTTTCTATTTTTTAAAATTATTTTATTTTATTTATTTATTTTTGGCTGCACTGGGTCTTTGTTGCTTCACACGGGCTTTCTCTAATTGTGATGAGCAGGGGCTACTCTTCGTTGGGGTGCGCAGGCTTCTCCTTGCAGTGGCTTCTCTTGTTGTGGAGCATGGGCTCTAGAGTGCAGGCTCATTAGTTGTGGCACATGGGTTCAGTAGTTGTGGCTCACGGGCTCTAGAGCACAGGCTCAGTAGTTGTGGCTCATGGGCTCTAGCATGCAGGATCAGTAGTTGTGGCACACGGGCTTATTTGCTCCACGGCATGTGGGATCTTCCCGGACCAGTGCTCAAACCTGTGTCGCTTGCATTGGTGGGCAGATTCTTAACCACTGCACCACCAGGGAAGCCCTGGAGTTTCTTTAAACTGAAGTCATAGTGTTGTCCATAAAGGGCCAGCCTACACAAAGGCGTTTGTTAAGTAGTTTCACTCTGTACCAAGCTATGGGAAGATTCATTCTTTTCTTCTTTCCTAGAAATGAGGAAAGATGACTGTCTTCTGCAGGAGGACTTGCAAAATCAAAGATGTCCAAAAAGAATGGAACAATGTCACAAACATAATGCACTTGGAAACATTGTTCATCAGAGCAAAAGTAACTTTCCTTTAAGGCAAAATCATGATATGTTGGACTTTCGTGGGAAAACACTGAAATCAAATTTAAGTTTAGTCAACCAGAACAGAAGCTATGGAGTAAAGAACCCTCTTGGAGATGGGGAATCCTTCCTCCATGCAAAGCATGAGCAATTTCATAGTGAAATGAAATTTACTGAATGTGGAAGTTCTGTGAACACAAATTCACAGTTCATTAAGCATCTAGGAACTCAGAAGATAAATAAATCCCACTTATGCACTGAATGTGGGAAAGCTTTCATCAAGAAGTCCCGCCTCATCAATCATCATAGAGTGCACACTGGAGAAAAACCTCATGGATGCAGTATATGTGGGAAAGCCTTCTCCAGAAAGTCCAGGCTCACTGAACACCAGAAAACCCATATAGGAGAGAAACGGTATACATGCACTGAATGTGACAAAGCCTTTCCCAAGAAATCACGGCTGCTTATTCATCAGAAAACTCATACAGGAGAAAAACCCTACGTATGCGAGGAATGTGGAAAAGGCTTCATCAAGAAGTCTCGGCTCATTAATCATCAGAGAGTTCATACAGGAGAGAAACCTCATGGGTGCAGTCTATGCGACAAAGCATTCTCCAGGAAGTCCCGGCTCATCGAACATCAGAGAACTCATACGGGAGAAAAACCATATGAATGCACTGAATGTGACAAAGCCTTCCGCTGGAAATCACAGCTTAATGCACACCAGAAAACTCATACAGGAGAGAAATCATATATATGCAGTGATTGTGGAAAAGGCTTCATTCAGAAGGGCAATCTCATTGTACATCAGCGAACTCACACTGGAGAGAAACCCTATGTGTGCAATGAATGTGGAAAAGGCTTCATCCAGAAGGGCAATCTCCTCATACATCAACGAACTCACACTGGAGAGAAACCCTATGTATGCACTGAATGTGGGAAAGGCTTCAGCCAGAAAACATGCCTCATCTCACATCAGAGATTTCACACTGGAAAGACTCCCTTTGTATGTACCGAATGTGGAAAATCATGTTCACACAAGTCTGGCCTCATTAACCATCAGAGAATTCACACAGGAGAGAAACCGTACACATGCAATGACTGTGGGAAAGCCTTCAGGGATAAGTCATGCCTCAATAGACATCGGAGAACTCATACAGGAGAGAGACCCTATGGATGCACTGACTGTGGGAAAGCCTTCTCCCACTTGTCATGTCTCGTGTACCACAAAGGGATGCTGCATGCAAGAGAGAAACGTGGAGATTCGGTCAAGTTGGAAAATCCTTTCTCAGAGAGTCCCAACTCATCACGTTCGAGTGATATTGTACAGGGGAAAAACCCTATTAATGTGGTGAGCGTGAACACACCTTCTGTGGCAGCTCAGACTCCATTCCACAGTGATGGGTTCCTAGCAGATAGGAATGTAGTAGCCCTTGTGGGACAGCCAGGTGCCACAGGTGCAGTGTCAGCAGATAATAGCATTTGCATGGAAGAAAAACCTAATGAATGCAGTGAGTGTGGTAGTACCTTCAGTGATCAATTACATCATATTTTACATCACAGAAAACACACAGAAATAAACTGTGATACAGTGAAGGTGGAAAACCCTTGAATAAAACCTTCTAGGTCATCCTGTGGCTGGTGAGTGTATACTGAGACAAACAGTATAAACACAGAGACTGGGAAAGCCTTTTGTGGAAAGATAGACCCTATCAGGGCTTCATAGGTCACATACTGTCAGTGAGGACATAGCTGGTAGAAATGTAATGACCATGGAAAAATCCTTCCCCAGAAATAAGACTTCAGTTGGTATCAGAGAGTTTACACAGGAGAGAAATTGTTGGACCTTTGAAGGCAGTAACTGAGGCAGGGTTGTCAGTGGTACATTCTGCCTCATTTGTTGGCAGAGGAAATCGTATAGAAATAAAACTCTGAACACACCAACTATGGAATGTCTTTGGCAAAATATCAGAAAATGCATGAAGCAAATAAGCCCTGTGAAAGTGAATCTTTTAGAGATTTCTGTCACAGTCCTAACATAATCATATATAAGATTATATACATAGTGTACATTTTAGGACAGTATACCTTGAATCAAATGCCTAATTGATACGTCAGTGACGCTTTAAATCAAAGGAGGGTGTCTGTGTTGCACATAATTGATTACAGTTATAATGCAGTTCACCCCTCTTGTTTGGGGGACATGGGCCTTCTTTTCCCACCCAGGATCATTATATGGTTAACTCTTGGATTTCTTCAGTTCTAAATATATTCAGCTTGTTATTTCAGTCTACCAAAAGTCCTTCAGAAGGAAACTGAATACATTTAATCTGATGATGTAACATAGCATGTTTGGATATGCTTAACTTTATAAATCTCACCTGGAGGAACAAAGCTCAAAATTCATGAATAACCTATTAGCCAAGCTCTTGCCCTAGAAGATAGTTCCCATCCTGTACACACACCACTCAGAAAAAACTTTAACAACTGTTTCCTTGACCTGGTCCTGTCCTAGGACCTATAGATGATGTCAGTGATGAACTTAACAGAAAGTCCTTGCCGCCTTTGAGCTGGAATTTTTTTAAAGCTAGGTTTCATGCCTATAGCAATTTTAACCTCTGGCAAAGATAATCAAAGGATGTGTACACCTACATTCGTTGAAAAGAACATATAGTATAAGGAACAAAGTATCCTGATAATTTCCTGTTTAAGGGACGTATCAGAGGGGGAAAGGGAAAGGATTTACTTAATTTTACATAGGAAAAGGTATGGATACTTTTTAAAAATTTTCACATCCACCTAGATTATAAATTCCTTGACAGTATATAGATAATTGTATATTCCCCAGCACATAGCAAAATAGGAAATGAATTATATGTAGATTTCAAAAATGAATGAAGGCGAATGAATGACCTCATGGACTAACCAATCAAATTTATTTTTGTCACTGAAGGAAAGGAGCTACTGGCAAGCAATTCTCAGGCTCAGTATTATTCCAAGAAACATTTGTTTCTTGAATAGAGGCTCCTGTCACACTATAAAAAGGGCAGATCAAAGAAGGACTAGGATCCATAGAATAAGCCCAATTAATGGAAGAAAATAACGTCACTAAAAATGGAGGACTGGGGAGTTCCCTGGTGGTCCCAGTGTTTAGGAATTGGCAGTTTCAACTGTGGTGGCCCAGGTTTGATCCCTGGTCAGGGAACTAAGATCCCACAAACCATGCAGCATGGCCAAAAACTAAAATTAATTAAAATGGAGGTTGGTACATGAGACAGGTGATGGTGAGATCGCTTTGAATGTTTTGGAGAACAAGCCTTACATTTGTCCACAGGCTTATCACCTTTTAGAGTTGCCACCATTTCAAAGATCTAAGCTCCTCTGTAGCTCAACGAATTGAGATGTGATTTAGCCTCATCATTCCTTCTCTCCTGGGACTGGGGCCCTTGTCCTCTATTTCTATTCCTAAGGTTCTTTCCCTCGATCCAATAATGATGTATCCAGCTTAAAAACAGTGAGTTCTGCCTATAAGGAAGAAAAATAAAAAGTGGAAATTTGCCATGGAGTGGCTGTCCCATAATTGAATTTCCAAACTCTGGGTGTGTGAGTAACTCACTACAACAAATATATTTCTGAGCATTGGCACTGTTGTAGACACAGGATATGCTGGTGAACAAAACATGCAAAGTAGTGGCCTTTCACAGGATGGATTCAGGACAGATGCTCCTCAGCAAAGCATCAGAAATGGATTCTTCTTCAACTCGGAGTGCAGCTCTCTTCCACTTCTTGTGAATTGCACATCCTATCATGGCAGTCATGGCGTCTTTCCCAGTGAAATCGTCCATCTGGGTTCCCGAATGTGCTGCCCAGGCCTGCCCTGAGAACCAGGTGCTGAACTCACCTTTCAGAGGTTGGCATTCCAGGTAAATGAAAATGTTAATGGGATAGGGAATTCCTGGTCGCCCTCTAAGAAGGCCATACCAGCGTCTATCCTCTACCCCTCGCATTCATAAAAATTATAGCTAACAGTTATTAAGTGTGCTGTCTGCCAAACAGACACTGTATCATTTATTTAGCACTCTCCAATGCTCCATCTTTGTGTATTTTAGGCAAACATTTGTATACATTTGAAGGCTAATTCCTTTCTCCTTAGTACAGGTAACCACCTACTGTACGCAGTTGTACGTGTCTGTCAAATGAGAGTTCCAACATCAGGGTTTGGAGTCTTAGTGGGTTTCTCTACCTTGTGTGTCTCAATGATGGAGAACTGGGGTCAGTGGTAGTTGTGTTAGTTGGCTGGGGCTGTCATAACAAAGTACCACAGACATTTTTTTCTCACAGTTCTGGAGGCTGGAAGTCTGAGATCACAGTGTCAGCAGGGTTGATTTCTTCCAAGGTCTCTCCTCGGCTTGTAGATGGCCATCTTCTCCCTGTGTCTTCACATTATACCAGTTATATTGGATTAGGACCCACCGTAATAACTTCACTTAAACTTAATTACCTCTTTGAAGACCTTATCTCCAAATACAGTCACATTCTGAGGTACTGGAGGTTATGACTTTAACATATGGATTTGGGGGGAACACAGTTAAGCCCGTAATGGTGGTATTTGTCAGTGAATTCCTTTCAAGTTTATATTGGGCTAACTGATGGATCTGTCTGGTCGTCAGTAAATGGTAGTGTCTTTTCCAGGTTTGACAGTTAACAAAGGGTCATATGGTCAGTATATGGGGAGGCACACTTGTGTCTGTGTTGAGAAGCTGGAGCTTTGGAGGCCCAGGATCCCTGGGCCACTGGGAAAGACAATGAATGTTACTTTCTCTTCAGTTCTTCAAGTGAGTCCCTCTTTAGGGAAATACATATATACATACACAGACACTATGCACACAAACACATGTATTTTCTGTAAAAGTAGTTGCTCCCTTGGGGACAAAGATAAGAAATAGACACTATAGGCAAGAGGAGAGATTCCATTTATGGAAAGTGCTTTAGGCTGAAAAATGAAGTAGAAGCTCTTCAGCTGTTCCTTCGTCAGTGGAGGACCATGGATGCTCGTTGGAAGAATTGACTTTTGAAGGAATATACCCTGGATACCTCTAAGAAGCTTCATTCACTCATTTCTGCCCCTGAGTAGCACTGCATTTGGGCTGTGCACATTTTCCTTTAATGGTGTTGCAAAGAGTCAGATATGAAGGTCCTGGGCCCTCAACCTCAAGTCCTGATATTTGAGATACAGGATGGGAGGTGAGGGGCCCTGTGAGCTGGGAGGATGCAGGAAAGTCACAGAAGCTCATCATCAGAGAATAATTTGTGGCCATGTTTGGTGGAAGATGAGATCAAGATGATCCAGGAAGTTGGTGACTTACCCCAGAAATCTTTCACCCAGGCTCCAGGGTTTGGGCTGTAGAAAGCCGTGGAAGTGCTAGCCTCAGATCTGCTGCTCTTGGGGCAAGCATGGAGCCTGAGGTTTGTGCGTTTCTATCTTTAAAAAAATTTTTTAAATTGAGATATAGTTGATGAACAGTATTATGTAAGTTTCAAGTGTGCAGCATAGTGATTCACAATTTTTAAAGGTCAACTCCATTTATAGTTATAAAATATTGGCTCTATTCCCTGTGTTATACAATATATCCTTGAAGCTTATTTATTTTATACATAGTAGTTTGTACCTCTTAATCTCCTACCCCTATCTTGCCCCCCCCCACTTCCCTCTCCCCACCGGTTACCACTAGTTTGGTCTCTGTATCTGTGAGTCTGCTGCTTTTTTGTTATATTCGCTAGTTTTATTTCTTAGATTCCACATATAAGTGATATACAGTATTTGTCTTTCTCTGACTTATTTCACTTAGCATAACACCCTCAAAGTCCATCCATGTTTTTGTAAATGGTGAAATTTCATTCTTTTTTATGGCTGAGTAGTATTCTATCATATATATATATACACCAGATCTTCTTTATCCATTCGTCTGTTGATGGACACTTAGTTTCCTTCCATATCTTGGCTATTGTAAGTAACGCTGCTGTGAACATAGGGTTACATGTATCCTTTTGAATTAGTGAGTTCATTTTTTAGATATATACCCAGGAATGAAATTGCTGTGTCATATGGTAGTTCTATTATTAGTTTCTTTTTTTTTTTAATTGAAGTATAGTTGATTTACAATGTTGTGTTAGTTTCAGATGTACAGCAAAGTGATTCAGTTCCATATAGGAACTTTTCCATTATAGGTTATTACAAGATATTGAATATGGTTCCCTGTGCTATACAGTACATCCTTGTTGTTTATCTGTTTTATATGTAGTAGTGTGTATCTGTTAATCCCAAACTCCTAATTTATTCCTTCCTCTCTCCCCGCTGTTTTTAGTTTTTTGAGAAACCTCCATACTGTTTTCCACAGTGGCTGAACCAATTTGTGTGTGTTTCTATCTTTGTGGAAGAAAGTGGTTTCATGTACCACAGTGTTATAAGGGATGATTTCAGAAGTTCAGGTTTTGCGTCTGTGACTACGTGGCCATCCTCCAAGGGAGCTCTGGGTGGTAAACTCCTTTAAGGAAGTAACAAGGAGAGCTAAGTTTTATTCTGAGGGTATCTGGTAAGGGAATACAACCATTGTTAAGGTCATGTGCTTGGAGAAAGGCAGACCTGGGTGCAGATTGTAGTTCTAACACATAGAGTATGTTCCTGAGCGAGTTATTTAATCCCAAAGCCTTAATGAGAAATATATATATTTGGTCACTGCCTCTGGTTCCTGACATAGAGGTCATGAAACCCTTGTAATTTCCTGAGTGATGGGGGTGATAGGAGCATCTTACACAGAGCTGTTAAATCCCTTGGAATTTCCTGGGTGATAGGAGTGTCTTTGTTCTAATAAAGTGACCCTGGGTGGGCTCCTGAATGGTCACCAGAAAGGCCAAATCATGATTAGAAGCTTGGAACTCTCCACCCCAACCCTTATACTATGGGGAAGGGAGAGGGACTAGAGATTGAGTTAATAATTATTCATTTAAATAAATAAATAAATACACACACACACACACACACACACACACACACACACACACACACACATATGCAGTCATTTATCTTTAAAATGTATCCATGAGTCAAATGGGTCATTTTTTTAAAAAGTAAAGGCAGTATATTTTTAATAATATATTTAATGATATATATATATGTTTATCAAACGAGGAAGTTCCCTTTTGTTTGGGGGGTCCCCAAGACCCCCCTCAGGTTTGATAATTTGCTAGAAGAACTCACAGAACTCAGAAACCTTGTTATCCTCAAGGTTACATTTATTATAGAAAGGATAGAGACTAAAATCAGCAAGGGAAAAAGGAAAAGCCACACCCACAATGTGATTTAAGGTGGAGGCTGTGGATCCCATGGTGTCAGTGGACCTCTGCAGGGACTGGAGACTGAAGTCAAGCACGTGGGTGTCCTACCAGGCTGATGTGACCCAGCCCCAGTTAAGCCTCTGGACATCGGGGCTCAGGGAGCTCCCCTGGTTGGTGGTACTCCCTGCCTGCTGTCACACATTTATGCCAAGAAAGTAATGCTCACTACTACATATAAAATAAATAACCAACAAGGGCCTATGGTAAAGCACAGGGAACTATACTCAATATTTTGTAATAACCTATAAGGGAAAAGAATCTGAAAAAGAATATGTATATAAATATACGTATATGAATGTATAACTGAATCACTTTGCTGTACACCTGAAACTATCACAACATTGTAAATCAACTATACTTCAATTTAAAAATCAGTAAAGGGAAAAAAAAAGTCACACTGCCCATGACTCCATTGTGGGAGGGCAGCTGGAAGCTCCATGTTTGCAATTTCCCTGGGCTCTGCCCTTCAAGCCTCTTCCCTTGGCTGATGTTAATCTGTATCCTTTAACTGTAATGAACCCTCACTTTCAGCAGAACAGCTTTCAGTGAGTTCTGAGCCCCTCTTGCAAATTATTGTGGTCTTATGGAATATTGTCCCTAACTGCAGTAACTCTGTGCTGCCTTTTGGGTAATTTCTAGCTCACTAATTATCCCTCAAGGCCTATACATAAGCTTTTAACTTGTGTGGACACATGTCACAGGTGTATGTGTTTCTTTACTTTTTTTCTCAAATCTGCCTAATTTTCTCTTTATAGTTTCCTGTTCTTTTTTTATTTTTCCAAGTATTTTGACTTTATTATTGGGACTTCCCAGGTGGTCCAGTGGTTAAAACTTCGCCTTCCAATGCAGGGGGTACAGGTTCAATCCCTGGTCAGGAAGCTAAAATCCCACATGCCTAGGGGCCGAAAAACCAAAACATAAAAGAACAGAAGCAATATTATAACAAATTCAAGGAAGACTTTAAAAATGGTTCACATAAAAAAAATGGATTTTAACTTTATTATTAACTGTTGTATCTCTGGGCCAAGAATAGTGCTTGGCACACAGTAGATGCTCCATAAATAATTTTGAATGGATATACAGTCAATATTTCTATGGGGTTTAGAGGTTTCTTATTTAATTCTTATTTTTCAAGGGAAGGATCATTTTAATCCCTATTTTATAAATGAAGAAAATGAGGTTTAAAAGCATTCATATGTGTAGAGCTTAAGGCCCCCTATAGTTTCCTGTTCTGTAGACTTTTTTTTTTTTTTTTGGCTGTGCTGCGCAACTTGCTGGATCTTAGTTCCCCAACCAAGGATAGAACCTGAACCCTCAGCAGTGAGAACACAGCGTTCTAACCACTGGACAGCCAGGGAATTCCCTAAAATACTTTATTCTTTATAACATTTTAAACACATTTATTAAACATGTCATCTCTTGTAGTTCTGGCATCTCTTGTCTCTACATGGTGAATTCTGATCCACCAAGTCAGGGAAGGCCCTTGATGAATGTAATAATATGTTTTATTAATCTTGATATCACCCACATGTGTATAGTATTTGGCAAATAAGTACATATATGTAGAGTTATGTATATATAGTTCTTGGTTAGCAAGAGAATATAATGGCTACACATTACACAAATTTCTCATTTGTTGAATAAATAGAATTATGAATGTATAATTGCAGAATATCCCAATAGTGTTTTCCTTCTACTACAAGGTGTTTTTTTAAAAACTACTTGTATTAATGCAGCCTATCTGGTGAAAATAACAGAATAACTTCCTTTACATGCCTTCTTCCTTACATCAATAGAAGGGAAACGCTATATTAAACAGGACCGTGTTGTGCCAGGAATCCCTGACATATGATGACATGGCTATGAAGTTCACGTGGGAGGAGTGGCAGCTCCTGGACCCCAATCAGAAGGACCCGTACCCAGATGTGATGCTGGAGAACCATAGCAACCTGGTGTCTTGTGGGTGAGTACATGTCCCCTGTGTCCCTCAGAGAATCTTCAGTCAGTGGCCATTTTTCTCAGCTGCTTAATGCTTCAGTACCTACAGTGCTCTCAAGGAGTAGATTCTCAGATCCTTCTCTGCTCCAGACAAGTGTATAATGTTCCCTCTCCTGAGAGAAAAGCCTCTCCTTTTTTTTTTTTTTTTTTTTCGGTATGCGGGCCTCTCACTCTTGTGGCCTCTCCCGTTGCGGAGCACAGGCTCCGGACGCGCAGGCTCAGTGGCCATGGCTCACGGGCCCAGCTGCTCCGCGGCATGTGGGATCTTCCCAGACCGGGGTACGAACCCATGTCCCCTGCATCGGCAGGTGGACTCTCAACCACTGCGCCACGAGGAAAGCCCAAGCCTCTCCTTTGCAGATGTGAAAACTTCCCTCAAAGGTAGCTTTCTCCCATCTTGACATCCCAGCCCAATTTGATGTGTCTAAGTCTTCTGTCATTTCCCGTGGACAGGGTGTCATGCCTGCAGACCAGATGCGTCCTCCAAGTTGGAACGAGGGGAAGAACCATGGCCAATAGAAGATGAAAACCGCAGTTGAACCTGTTCAGGTGTGTAGCTGATAACCAGCAAGGTGGGAGGCCAGGGAAGCCATAATCTAGTCAGTAAGAGAAAGTACCCATGGTTGTGAGAGTGTTTGAGGATGTCTAAACAACTGCACCTAGTATCTATCTTCCCATATGAGAGCTTTTTCTTTACAGGTGTCTAAAGGGAAATAGACCCCCATTTCTTCCTCTGAGATCTGATCCCAGTGGTCCCTGTTTATTTTACATACATCTTGATTTTCTTTGTTGTTTACCTACTTTTCTTCTTAGGTTTCTTACATCTTCTCCTTTTTTGTCCTCTGTCACAGAATCTCTGCCTATTTCTTCCACCTCCCTTGCTACAAGATTCTACCTTCCAGCTGTTACTCCAAAGATCTTTGAAGGGACTACCCTCATGGCACAGTGGTTAAGAATCCTCCTGCCAGTGCAGGGGACACGGGTTCGAGCCCTGGTCCAGGAAGATCCCACATGCCACAGAGCAACTAAGCCCGTGTGCCACAACTGCTGAGCCCACGGCCGCAACTACTGAGGCCCACACACCTAGAGCCCGTGCTCAGCAACAAGAGAAGGCACCACAATGAAAGGCCTGTGCACCACAATGAAGAGTAGCCTCTGCTAGCCGCAACTAGAGAAAGCCTGCACACAGCAACGAAGACCCACTGCAGCCAAAAATAAATAAATTTATTTAAAAAAAAGAAAGAAAAATGATCTTTGAATTCAGCAGTCTTCTAAGTAGTACATCTTCCTGCTTCATTGGGAAATAGTGATTTCCCTTCCTGACATTTAACCCCACGTTAAATGCTGTACCCACACCATAACCTGATCTCTGTGTGTCTATATGGTTTCTTAGCTTCTTGCTATAGATTAAATGTTGGGGTCCCCCCAATCATGTGTTGAAACCCTAACCACAAGGTGATGGTATTAGGAGGTGGGGCCTTTGAGAAGTGATTAGGTCATGAGGACCCAGAGAGAGCTCCTGTCCCTTATCCCATGTGAGGTGGGGGCTAGAAGGCGCTGTCTATGAGGAAGCAGGCCCTCATCAGGCACCAAATCTACTAGCGTCTTGATCATGGACTTCTTAGCCTCTGGAACCATGAGAAGTAAATTTCTGTTCTTTATAAGCCACCCAGCCTATGGTATTTTGTTATAGCAGCTCAAATGGACTAAGACTTCTCTTTGCCCCAGTCTGAAATTCTCCAGAGGTTCTGTTTTCTTTATTCCCTCTCCCACAATTTGAATTCATCAGGAAGCCGTGTCTCACTCTATCATATATCCTCATTTCCTCCACCTCTCTCCATCTCCTTTGCTCCTTCAGACTACTACTCATAGTTTGTAGCTTTTTTTTTCTTTGCTTGATTGTTTTTTAAATTAATTTATTTATGGAAGTATAGTTAATTTACAGTGTTGTGTTACTTTCAAGTGTTCAGCAAAGTGACTCAGTTATATATATACATACATACATATATATATATATATATATATATATATATATATATATATT